ACTGCAGGCAGAATCTTTACTGTCTGAGCCACCAAGGAAATCCAAAGCCTAAGGAGCCCAAGCTCCCACTGATCCAAGCCTGCCTGAAATGCTCCCTCCCTCAGGAAGTCCTCCCAAAGCCAGTGAAGCTACAGCTTCTCCAATCACATTAGCTTTGAAAATTCTCCTGCCGACCTATCTGATCCCTCCTGAGGCTGGCTCAATCTGTCTCTGGGCAGGAACAGACACGGGCCTTGAGTTGGGGCCTGGGCTTTCCCAGCAAGAGGAAGAAGGATGCTGAGAGGTGACTGGGCAACCTCAGGCCACACACATGCTTCACTCAATTCAGACCCCTTCCAGAGGCTGCTTTCCCACCCTTCCTCAGGGTCCTCTTGCCCCTGATCACTCTATGCTCACAGAACTTATCTAGATCTTCAGGTGGGACATAAGCTCCCTCCCACCGAGGTTGAGTGCTCATCCTGGAAAATTCACAGTGTTCTCTCAGGACCTAGTGCAGTACATACAGTAAGCGTCCCCCCAGTGCTTGGTGGCTGAGTGAGAACTATGGCTCAGCCTGACCAGCCCTGGAAGAGAGCTGAGTTTTCATTTCTAAGGGGAAAGACGGTTTTAGGTTAAATGCAAGCTTGAGCAAGGCCAGCATGAGCGTCTCTTCAGTAGAATCAAGGAAAGTGAAAGTGTTAGTCGCTCAGTCGTGTCCGACTCTTTGAGACCCCAAGAACTGTAGCCTGCCAGACTCCTCTGTCCATGGGATTTTCCAGGCGAGAACACTGGAGTGGGTTGCCATGCCCTCCTCCAGGGGATCTTCCCAACTCAGGGATCGAACCCAGGTTTCCCTCATTGCAGGCAGACTCTTTAGAGTCTGAACCACCAATGAAGCCCCTGGAATCAAGGAAGAGCTTCCTTGCTAAGGATCAGCCCACACAGGAAGCCTGGGCTCTGCTGAGTAGGAAGCCAGGGTGTCATTAGACACAGGCAGGACAGGGTGGCTTTCTGGGGAGGGGGAAGACCAAGCTGTGGCCCAAGTCCTTGGAAACCCCGGTTTAGCTCTCCTGCTTGGGAGAAACAGACTCCTCCACTCGGAACCTCATTCCACCCCCTAAGAGAAAGCTCACGCATCGAAATAGAAGGCCAAGTGGGGAGTATGCCCAGACCCCAAAGTGCCAGGTGGGAACACAGTACGGCATCTGAGAGAGGGGGACCAATGTGAATTAAAAAAAAAATATCTCTCACTTTGCAACACAAGACTGGATGATCAGCTCACAGGCAAAAGCATGAGCCAGCAGTTTGCAACAAAGCTGGCTAGTGGCCGGAATGCTGATCCTGTGGATCATGTTCCGGAGGGGAGACACCCCTCCCCAGGCCAGGCTGGCGCTCACTGCGGCTATTTCAGGCTGGGGGGGATTAAGGTCAAACCATGACGAATGTGTGTGTAGATACACACACACACACACATACACACACACACTCCTCCCCTCTCCTTTCCGGTGCTGACTCCCATGCCCAGACCCCAGCCTGCCTCCTGCTCTAAGTCTCTCAGCCCCATGGGGCTCTCCTTCCTGGGAAGGCCCAGGGCCAGCCTGCACCCACCTTATCAAGGCAGAGATGGGAGTCTGGGAATGAGGACGGGGCGACGCACACCAGGCATCCTGCCCAGCTTCTCCTCTGCACACCCCCAGGATACTGCACTGACCCCACCCCAGCCCCTCTCCCCGACTGTGGTCACCATCTCTCTTTCCAGCTCTTTTCTGCCTCTGTCTGTCTCCAGCCTCACTTCCCTCTTCCTTGTCTGTGTCTCCTTGTCTGTGTTGCTCTTTTCCTCCAGTTCTTCATCCTCTCCACACCTCCCTCTCAAACATGACCCTTGAAACCTACTGTATAGCACGGGGAACTCTGCTTAATGTTATGTGGCAGCTTTGGATGGGAGGGGACTATGGGGAAGAACGGATACATGTATATCTATGGCTGAGTCCCTTCACTCTTCACCTTAAGCTATCACAACATTGCTAATCAACTATACTCCAATATGAACATTAAAAGTCTGAAAAAATAATATAGACGGAAAAGCAAAGCATGACCCTTGATATCTGCCTTTCTTTCCCTCTTTCTCCTTATTTCTCCTCCCCTCCTCAGCCTTCTTGCCTCTCTGATTTTTCTCTCTCCATCTTTCACATCTTATTACGTCTTTCAACAGAAAATTATTGGTTAAATACCACGCACCAGACTCTGTGTGGTTATCGTCGGGTATAGGTATAATAATATATGAAATCCTGTCTCTGCTCAAAAAATGTTTGTTATCCAGGAGAGGAAAATAAGGCTTACACAGTGATGATGATGCAAAGTCACGTGTGATATTTACCACATAAATGTCCCGCCATGCCCAGGAGTTAGCTGAGAGAAAGGAAAGTCCAGCTTTGGGGTGGGGTGCCCAAGAGGCCTCTATGGGGAGAGCAGCCTTCTTACTGTCCTTGGTGAAGACGCTGGTTTGGTCCTGCAGAGGTGTGGGGACATCAAATACACGGGTGTGGAAGAACAGTGACAGAGGAGGGCCTTGAATGTCAGGTGAAAGGATGTGAAAACCCTGGGGGGAGGGGCTGGTAATCAGAGTTTTTGAGCAGGAGAAGGGCTTGAACAGTGCTTTCGATGATAAAGCCAGCCGCAGAAGCCTAAGAGGTGTGCGGGTGTGAAAGTGTGTGTGTGTGTGTGTGTGTGTGTGTGTAGGAGGGCCTCGAGGTAGCCACAGAAGAGCAGAATAGGAAGCTATGGTAGTAGCTCGTGTGTAATTACCTTATTTACCCACTGAAGCCTGAACCAGGGAGGTGGGGGCAGAGACAGGAAATGAAGGGGCCAGTCTGAGAAGCGGCAAACAGGACCACCTCGCTGAGTGTCTTCTCTCTTTTTCAGTGTCTTTGTTTTTGTTGGATTGTCTGAGCTCCTCTTTCTAAGCGGATCAGAGGCCTTTCTGCAGCGGTCACCCCAGGGCCAGCTTCACTGTCAGGCACCTACGTGACGCTTGCAGTGATAGAGATCAAAGTTCCTTCCTCTTCTCTCTAAGCTCAGAGGCACTGGATGCTGGGATCCCCCAGGAGGACTGACTTCCGCAGACAGCATCTCCCATGCCTGGTTCACCCAGCACTCACGTTATCCTTCTCTACTAGTGTCTCCCAGTGACCCTGCTTCCTGCAGGATGAACCTGTCAGCTACGGGACTCCAACCTTTAGGGGGCCCCTGTGGCTACTAAGCCCCCTGGCCCTCCTTTTTTTCCCCTCTAACCTGGTATACCTCCAATTCCAGAGCTCGAGTTGGGGTTAGAGGGCCCAGAAGGGGAAACCTGGTGCCTCTCCAAGGACCTGATTATTTCCAAAGACTTGTGCTAATTTTCTGATATGATCCTCACATCTCTGTGAGGCACTAAATCCTCATTACTTTTCCTGACCGATGCATTCTAATTAGATCAACACTTAAAACAAATTCACAATAGCCACAGGATGGCTTTCCATCTCATTAACTCCTCACTTATTATTTTCATGAAAATTACTGATAAAAATGTGCATCTCCATTTGGTGAGCCTCACAGCCTCCTCGGCTCCTATCTTGCATCTCTCCCGTCACCGGGGCTGCGCAGCGTCGCCATGGTAACCCACAATAATAGAAACTAATAAATTACAAACGAGATGCTCGTTGAGCAATTATTGTCCTCTTTTATGCAAGTTTCTTGCTAATTTTGATCATAAGGGAAAGTACAATAAGACTCTGAAGGAATGAGTCTATTTCAAGAGAATATTAGCAAGCAGAAGCCAGGGCGGCGGAGTTTAGATCTGTAATAAAGTGATTTGGTGATTTCAAGCAAAGGGAAGAGGAAATAAACTTCCTGCCTCGTGTCTCCTGCAGTACTCACTATTTAGTCCCTCAGAGATTCCCTGGGGGTGGGCTCGATGTGACTTTTGTGGTCAACATGTACAAGGCGTGGCTGGCCTTCTAGAGGTCACCCTGTCCCTTCCCCTGCCTCTGCCAACCTAGAGAAACAGATTATGTGTTGGTGCTTAAAATGTACAGGTTAAAAATGGCATCACCTTTCTTTGGCACTCTTTCCAGCACATCTCACCAATCACTCTAAGAAAGTTCACCTGTATCCCCAAGCCTGATTGTCTCATGGGTAGAAGGCTACTGCAAACCTCCTGTGGGGTCTCCATGTGCCTGTCCTGGACTCCGAGCTCAGTGGGAGAAGGTGGTGAGCCTAGGGCTTACACAGACACCAGTGAGTTGGAAAGGTATCGCCAGGAAGCTTTCACAGTTTATAGGTTTGGGGGAAATATTCTTCCCTGGAGAGAACCCATTCTTTTCTAGAGCACAGAGTTACTGTTTCCACAGTTCCTGGTCCTCAGGATGAAGGTGGCAGGTGAATCTTGAGAGGAAGGGGTGACTTTCGGTGACTTATACAGTGGCCCTGAACCACAAGGAGACAGATGTGCCAGAGTGGGGTGAGCAACTAGAGAATGATCGGGGAAAAGCTGTCCCTTGGGAAGCTTCTGTCTTCTTCTATTAAGTGAGCAGAATTCAGGAGAGGACCACTTCCCCCAAACCCTCCTGCCCAGAACATAAGAACTCATCAAACCAAAGCCCCTGGAGAAGCCCAGGGGTGGTGCTGGCAAGTCTGATTCCATTCCCAGTTCTGTCCTGCCTCATCCTCTAGCAAAACTCTCCATCTCCTTAACTCTTGTGCTCATTTCCTGGGATCTCTTGGACCTGGAAGCCAGGAATCACTTTGAACACTGTCCCTCTCAGACCTAGTCATTTTCTAGGGAATGTTGATGCCCTGGCATGGTGAACCCTGGGCTTTAGAGGGTCTGGCTGCCTGAAAATAGCAGGAGGAATGGACCAGAGGATAGATCTCATGATGAAAGGATCCAGTGACTCTAAACCATTTTCCTAGGTCTCCACGGGACCTTCTGATACCTGGCTTTGGAGCCTGGCTAGGAGAGAGGACCGAGTGCTCTGTGTTACCTGTGAGTGAAGGTTTATGGAGGGCTGGTTGGGGGAGTAGGGCCCCCCGAGGTCGTTCCTGAGCAGATTATCACTGTGCATCTTGGTTTTGAGGCAGGTGATGTACCGGTTACAAAAGTCCTTGCAGAGTTCATTGACTTTCTCCAGCTCCAGCAGGTGGATTCTTAGCACCTGGATCGCCTTCACCATCTGCGGAGAGGGAGGACAGGTGAGCCCGGGTGTGTCCGGATTCCAATCCCCTCACTGCCTTGACCCTCAAACCCCAAGCACACCAGGAGAGAGAAGCCCGTTTCTGCTCTGGCGATGTAGGATTTAAATTCTTTTTGTGGGTACATGCTTGCTGATTGTTAGCTTGTATTTTTAAATGCACAGTTTTGGGGGTTTTTTTTAACTTTAAAAAAAAAATCTATACACAGCTACCCTGGGTCTTTGCCACTGCACGCAGGCTTTCTCTAGTTGCGGCGAGAGGGGGCTACTCTCTAGTTGCGGTGCACGGGCTTCTCATTGCAGTGGCTTCTCTTGTTGCGGAGCGCAGTCTCTAGGCACTTGGGCTTCAGTAGTTGTGGTGTACGGGCTTAGTTGCCCCGAGGCATGTGGAATCTTCCTAGGCCTGGGATTGAACCCATATGCCCTGCATTGGCAGGCAGAGTCTTACCCATTGGACTGCCAGGGAAGCCCCTGTTTACTTTTTTTGAGCCTCCTGTTATCATAGCTGTCCTGGAGGCAGATATGCTATTCTGAGAACAGCCTTAGAGATGGAAGGCCACGTCTCCAGCTCTGCGCCTGCCTGTCTGTGTGGCCTTGGTCAAGTGCATAAGTTCTGCACCTCACTGTCTGACAGCCGGGGGCAATGACGCCCTTCCTGCCAGCTGCGCAGGTTTGCAGAAAGGAGCATCTGAGGGAAGGCACATGATGCGAAGGTTGTGGCCCTGAACAGGCAGGAGGAAGGCAGAGATCAGAGCTCCTTGTAAGAGCCCCAAGAGGTCAGGGGCCGGCTATTCTTAAAGGCGTGGTCTGAGTGCCTCATGTGACGCCAGTCACCGTGCAGATACCCCATCAGTGCCTGTTGACTGACCGCATCATCCAGCGTGACTGAGCTGGGCGCTGGGATACTCAAATGTCTGCGGTGGCTTTTTCCATGCCCTTCGGGAGGTAGTACGTGAGCCTGCCGCCTCTTCAAATGGACCTTCCTAACCTTTCAAGGCAAGAGGCTATTTCTCAATTGAAGCTTTTCTTTTTACTGTTGCTATTATTATAGAAAGAAAGCACTGTGGGAGGTAAGGAACATAGAGGATGAAAAAGGCTGCCCTTGATCCAATCACCATAAAAAATATGAGTTTTTTTGGGGGGGTTTCACATGCACATATGTCAGCATAGTTTCAGTCACTTTGTACATGCAATTTTGTTTCCTGTTTTTCCCTTAGTTTACTGGATGTATTTTTCTAAGTGGCAACATTGTTTTCTCTATTCTTGCTTCTAGCCTGTGGGCTTCTAGAAGGGAGAAGTGGTGTCTAATTTGCTCATCCTATTATCGTGGTTATTAACACATGTGGATACTGAGTATATAGTTCTCGAATGGGTAAAAGTTATTGAGTAAATATACTTTAAATTATTGCATACCATTCCATGCAATAATAATATAATAATGAAAAAATAATAAAAATTCCATGGGGCTTCCCTGTGACTCAGATGGTAAAGAATCTGCCTGCAATGCAGGAGACCTGGGTTCAATCCCTGGGTCAGAGAGATCCTCTGGATAAAGGAATGACAACCCACTCCAGTATTGCTGCCTGGAGAATTCCATGGACAGAGGAGCCTGGTGGGCTTCAGTCCATGGGGTCCCAAAGAGTCAGACACGACTGAGTGACTAACACAGAAATAACATATCATTCCATGTATGTGCCCTACTTAGCCAATTTCTTATTGTTGGGCATTTAGGTTAATTCCAATTTTTCAACTTTATAAAAAATGTTAAGTGACTATTTTCCAACTTCACAGTTTATTAATGCTTCTTCATTATTTTCTTAGGACAAGATCCCAAAAGTGATCAGAAAAAAACAAAAATCTATGGACATTCTTTTGGCTCATGATTCAGTTCAGTTCAGTTCAGTCGCTCAGTCATGTCTGACTCTTTGCAACTCCATGAATCGCAGCACGCCAGGCTTCCCTGCTCATGGTAGATATGGCCAAATCACTTTTCAAATAAAGATGTTGGAGCAACTGGACATCCACAAGCAAAACAGTGATTTTCACATCTTACACAAAAATTAACTCAAAGACCAAAACGTAAGGCATAAACTGTAAAATTTTTAAGAAAAAAAATAAAACACAAGAGAAAATAATCAGGACAGAGGGCTAGACAAAGAAGCCTTAGATTTGACACCAAAACATGACCCAGAAAAGGGAAACTTGATGAATTGAACCTTATCAAAGTGTAAAATGTTTGCTCTTCAAAAGACCCTGTGAAGAAGATGAAAAGACAAACTACAGAACAGGAGAAAATATCTGAAAAACACGTATCTGACAAAGGACTTACATCTAGAATATATAAAGAACTCTCAAAACTAACCAGTAAAATAACAAGCAATCCAATTAGAACATGGGCAAAATACAACATCAGACATTTCACTGAAGAGGATACACAGATGGCAAATAGCCACACAAAAAGATGTTTAGAATCATCAGAGAAGGGTCTTCTCTGGCGGCTCAAACGGTAAAGAATCTTCCTGCAAAGCAGGAGACCCAGGTTCTATCCCTGAGTAGGGAAGATCCCCTGGAGGAGGGGATGGCAACCCACTCCAGTATTCTTGCCTGGAGAATCCCACAGACAGAGAAGCCTGGCGGGCTACAGTCCATGGGGTCACAGAGAGATACGACTGAAGTGACTTAGCAACATGCATGCATCATCAGGGAAATGCAACTTAAAACCACAGTAAGATGTCACCACACACCTATCAGAGTGGTTAACATTAAAAATAGAGATAACGCTAAATATTGGCAAGGAATTAGAAACTGGCTCACTCATGTGTAACTGGCGGATATGAAAAATGGTCCAGCCACTCTGGAAAACAGCAGAATAGTTTCTTACAAAACTGAATATATACCATCCAGCTCAGCAGCTGCACTCTTGGGCATTTATCCCAGAGAAATAAAAACACGTGTTCACCTCAAAACTTGTATATTCAAAGAAATCTTATTTTTAATAACCCCCAAGCTGGAAACAACCAAAATACACTTCAACAGGTGAATGGATAGAGAAACTATGGGACATCTGTATCATGAAATCATACTTAGCAACAAAAACAAACTACCAATATACTCAACTGCTTGGATGGATTTAAAGGGAATGATGCTGAGAAAAAAAGCCAGTCTCAGGTTACATACATAATGCCATTTATATAACATCCTTTTCTTCTTTTTTTATATATAGAACATTCTTTAAATGACTAAATTTTAGAGAGAGAGAACAGAGCAGTGATTGCTGAGGGGTATGGTAGGGGAGGGAGGGAGGAACTGCTCTGTATCTTGACAATCATAGTGTCTCCATGAATACACATGTGATAAAGTGGCACAAACTAAACATACACACACACATATTGCTATGACTATATGTAAAACTAGTGAAATCTGAGTAAGTTTGGTGGTCATACCATTGTCATTTCCTGGCTGTGAAATTGTTCTCTAGCCATGCAGAAAGGGAATCAGGACTTCTCTATACTAATTCTTACAGCTGCATGTGAATCTACTGTTACATCAAAATAAAAAGCAAAAAGAAAAGAGTGGGTGCTTGCCTTCCAAGATGATTTATGCTGACATAAGCCATGTAGAGGCGTCTTTCTTTAATCCCACCCTCCTAACTTTTGGCCAACAGTTTGATGTCCAGGAAGATTAGCAAGGGCATCGCTCCCCGAGACTGCTATGGTCACGTGTGTTGAGCGGTAAGCTGTGTGACTAAAAGCCATGGCCACATCCTCTCTGAGCTTCATCAGCATTTCAAGTGCTGAGAGTGACAGAGGAGCCCCCAGACTCTCATCTGGATTGTCTGATAGGTAGGGATTCAGTTCAGTTCAGTGGCTCAGTCGTGTCTGACTCTTTGCCACCCTATGGACTGCAGCACGCCAGACCACCCTGTCCATCACCAACTCGCAGAGTTTACTCAAACTCATGTCCATTGAGTCAGTGATGCCATCCAACTATCTCATCCTCTGACGTCCCTTCTCCTCCCACCTTCAATCTTTCCCAGCATCAGGGTCTTTTCTAATGAGGCAGTTCTTCGCATCAGGTGGCCAAAGTGTTGAAGCTTCAGCTTCAGCATCAGTCTTTCCAATGAATATTCAGGACTGATTTCCTTTAGGATGGACTGGTTGGATCTCCTTGCAGTCCAAGGGATTCTCCAGAGTCTTCTCCAACACCCAGTTCAAAAGTACTAATTCTTCAGTGATCAGCTTTCTTTATAGGGACAGGGATTGTGCTTGGCTAATTAAAGGCTCTTGGAGAATTAGATGAAGTGTCACTCAGAGGCAGAAACTGACAACTGTATATTTTCCTCAGTGATCAATGTAAAGAAAGAGAGGAAAACAATAGAATGGGAAAGACTAGAGATCTCTTCAAGAAAATTAGAGATACCAAGGGAACATTTCATGCAACGATGGGCACAATAAAAGAGAGAAGTGGTATGGACCTAACAGAAGCAGAAGATATTAAGAAGAGGTGGCAAGAATACATAGAAGAGCTATAAAAAAAAAAAGATCTTAATAACCAGATAACAATGATGGTGTGATCACTTACCTAGAGCCAGACATCCTGGAGCGTGAAGTTAAGTGGGCCTTGGGAAGCATCATTATGAACAAAGCTAGTGGAGGTGATGGAATTCCAGCTGAATATTTCAAATCCTAAAAGATGATGCTGTGAAAGTGCTGCACTCAATATGCCAACAAATTTGGAAAACTCAGCAGTAGCCACAGGACTGGAAAAAGTCAGTTTTCATTCCAATCCCAAAGAAAGGCAATGCCAAAGAATGCTCAAACTACTGCACAATTGCACTCATTTCATAAGTGGGCAAAATAATGCTCAGAATTCTCCAAGCATAGCTTCAACAGTACGTGAACCAGAACTTTCAAGCTGGATTTAGAAAAGGCAGAGGAACCAGAGATCAAATTGCCAACATCTATTGGATCATAGAAAAAGCA